TTTTTTTGTATCTTTCAACCATGAACTGAATCCATTTAAAAAAAAAAAAAAAAAAAAAATACTTAATTGAATTGAATTTCGGTTGACCGATCGTCTGATCTCTCAGAAAATTATATACTACTCCGAAACCATGGTACATTTTTCAAGCCAATCAGCAACAATCAGTGACGCTAATAAATTCTCCTTTCTTTCGCTGTCGAAAGCAGCTAAAACGAGCGACGACACGATCTTCGTTGCCAATGTAAAATCTCTTACAATATTTATAAGTCGCATGTATTGACAAAGTTAGGACGTGTAAAACGACGACGAACCGCTCGATCCCCGGCGAAAACCTCGAGATTCCTCTTCAAGCTTGCTGCCGCGTGTTGCTTCGCTAGTTCGTGGATTCCGAGTTCGATGACGGCGAGGATTCCGGGCTCTGTACCAGAGGGCTGTCTCTCCCGATCGTGGGTGTCAACAGCATGCCCCGCGGGCTGAACGTGTCGCAATATAAATTCTCCTTTTTGTGCACTCGTCTTACGTGGCTACGTAGATTGTCACGACGTGCACTCCTGTAGGCGCAGTGTGGACAAAGGTGCGGCTTCTCGCCCGTGTGCATTCGTCGATGTTGGATGAGCTGGTCAAAGATAGAAAATCATTGTTCTCGCGTGTAAAACGTATACATAGACGCGTGTTAAATTGGCGTGAGCTAATTAGTACGATCGTAGGAAAAAGTTACAATTTGCTTGATGCTAATTCTCCTCATTTCATTCTCAGTGAAGTGTCTTTCATTTTTTCTCACTTGCATCTAGTTAATTAATAACACGTAAATGCTGTAATAAATACACACACAGCGTGTAAATACGCTCTGCAGTAACGACTGTGATCTTTTTTACGAAATGTTTTAAATTGACTTTAATTTATAAACAAATAATTAATATCATAGAGCGATCCCTCTGGAGCTTCATATCAATATGCAAATCATGTCAACGTATAATGAATATATATTAATGGATTATAATAATGAATACACAACGAATTATAATGAGTTACAATTAATAGTACATTTTCTTTTTTTTTTTTTCTCTCTCTCGCGTGATCAATATGTATCAAATATTATATCTAAAATCACAGTCCACTGTACGGCCGTTATTGAAAATTGCAATTCTATTATGTAACGCGATCTCATCGACTATTATTCATCGTCGGCCACGAAACAATAGTCTGGCATCTTGAATTTAACATCAATATCTTGTCCACTGAAGCTTTTCATTGCGATCACTCGAACGTTACGCCAGTGTGGTACACGCATGGCCAGGCCTTGAATCTATTCAAGAATCGCTAGAAAATCGTCGAATAAATCCTTAGAATTCTCACATAGAGCTCGTCATTTACATAGAGGTAGAAAGTTTTGATTTACAGATAAAGGTGGGTACGTGTCGTAAAATTTACGGCCATCCACGGATTATACGAGCTTTTCACTCAAAGTGTGAGAACTGAAAAACAATCGGCAGTTCATTGGTTTTGCTTGCTGTCGCGTTTCTTTGCGCGCGTCAACGTCCCCCTTTTGTGTCCAGCGTGGTTCTTTTATTACCTTTTTCAACTGCACCGTGCGAAAGATGCAAATGTCGCAGCAGAAGTATCGGTCGTCGCGATGCCTTCTCATGTGCCTGCTCAGATCCACTTCCGACGACCTGTCCGCGCCGCAGACAGCGCAGCTCACCCTTGTTTCCGGCGCTGTGCCCTTCGCGTGTGCTCTCAAATGCCTCTGGAACGCCTTCTCGATGGTGCACGCGTACGAGCACAACGAGCACCGATACTCCTCCCTTTCATATCTGCGCGTTAAAATGTACAATAAAGGTCGGAACAGACCTTGGCCGACGTCAGAAATGCCAACGAATTATACAAATTTACCAAGTTTGTCCGTTTACTTTAATTTTGATAATGGACACGCTTCACGAACGTCAAGCAGTTTTACTTTCCAACTAAATATTTAATTTACAATTTCATAATTTAATTCCTCTGCGTGATGTGATTGCGGGCACAGTCGTAAGAATTGTGAACATTACTTTGCCAGATATCATATTCGATGTTATATACAGAAGGTAAATAAACTTGTATACACAGAGTGAATCGATTGTAACGATATATCGTTCAAAGTAATTAGCGAGTTTCTTTATCAATCGAATATTGATTGATCTTTCAATGTAACAATCTGCTGGAGGATTCTCCAATTACTTTTAAACAGTTAAGCTTAATAATAACGAGATAAATAAAACGTTAAATAAAATAGAGTAATTGAAACAAGCGCTAAGTACCTATACCTGACGCGTTGCAAAGCTAGTGTACGCTTCTTTCCTGTGGGTGTCATCCCTTGTGCCACGTGCGCAGCTACATGAGTTTCCATCTCACATCTGCTGTTCGTGGTGAAATCACAGCCCGAGGACGGACAACTTTTCGTTTCCCCAGTTTCCGCGCTGGCTACTGGCGGATGACAATCGACAATATGCTTCCGCAAAGCTGGCCTCGTCGGCGCAACCACGTCGCAGGAACCACAGGAATAACCGCGGTGTGCATTGCTCACGTTCGGGCTGCTGCCTCGGGATCTGAGAAACGCATCAAAAATGTCAGTCCTTCCAGTCAAACGGGAACGTATTTGCGTATATTGCGTAAGAGTTTTGATGTGGAGGATGCAATAAAAATTCATATTGGTAAAAATTTAGATTTACGTAGATATCTAAATCTAAAGGTAGAGGTGGAGATAGCTCAGTCGGTAGAGCATCAGACTCTTAATTTGAGAGACCAGGGTTGTTTAAACCCTTATTCGGGCGGAAAACAAGATATTGTCTTTTAGCACAACAGCACGAGAAGAGCTCTGTGTGTATAAAAAGGTCTCAGAGCTCTCCCAACGTGCGGAGGACGGTCATCGTGGAGATTTTAGTCGGTAAAAATCCGACACTACCTGGGTCTTCCCTTCGAAAAGACTCAGGTGTCTTATCGAAGATTTCCTCCACATAAAAAAAAAAAAAAGATATCTAAAGGTAATAGTAAATGTATTAGTATGGTGTATAAGAAATAGAGAAAAATCTGGAGTCTTTCCTGTTTTATCGAAGACAGAGATCAAGAAATGATCCGAAGGAATGAAGGAAATTAATTTCTTCTTAATGTCTTCACAGGACACGTCCTTGACTTGGGTGGCTTCTTTCTCAACCTTTCATACAGCGTCCTTCTCTCTAATTTTCTCTCTTTCTCTCTGTCTGCCTGGTCTCCGTTACGTTTATCATTTCAAGCAAAAGAAAGGATAAATCACAGTGTGCAGGAGACGTGCACAAAAAACAACAAAGTCATTCCACCATCAATGCGACGGAATTAAAAAGCCCCTTTTATTTCTATTTCTTTTAAATTTCGTAATCGTTGCTCACGGATCGGTCGTAACTCAACGTTGGTCAATATCCTTCAAAACTGTTGATTTACGGCGCCATTTATCATTTGGAATTTTTGAAATATCAGAAAAACGCGTTCGCATTGTTGAGCACAGGGAGAGAAGATTCGCCCTCCAACCGGACAGATTCATTGGTCTCGTTTTATCGATTCCGCCGCGTGTTAAATAAAAACCTTGCGCTCAAACATCTCTTTGCCACGACGCGCATACATATATACATACGTAATTCCGTTTCCTCGTCTGTTCACCTAACTTTCTTATCTGATTACCACGTCACCTGGTAACCGAGAGAGAATTTAAATGCTCCGATGTGGTGCGTGTAAGACTAAGGCTATCGTGTAAAGCGATTGAGGCGAGTCTCGATTTTCGTGATGACAGCTAATACGATAACCGAAAAGAACCAGCATACTTCTCGGTGTAAGACGAATGCTCGCTCTCGGAGTCGCTGTCAGACGGGATGTTTGGGATTTCTGTAGCTTCGAGGGCCGCGGTCGCTGCCGAAAGCCTTCCAAGCATGGCGGTGTAAGCACCGAGGACCCAGCCATTCAGAACCGGTGTAACTGTTCCATCCTGTTTACGAAATGAGACCCTCTTTTAGTTTGGTTCGGCCACTTTTGTTACACACTCGATAGATTAGACAATGTTACGTGAGGATTTAAAGATCTTGAAAAATATGGAATACATGAATGAATATTTCACCTCAAAAATGTAAATGCTACATTTATATAATTGGACGTACCTTGTCGAAAGTCAGATAGGCCATGGGGTCGAGCAGCTTCGTGGATAAATTATTGTTGGCCGAGCGATGCGAGCTGTTTGTACTTCCGGTGTCGCTTTCCTCGCCGGCGTCCTCGTTGTCGTTAGTTTCTTTCGGCGTGGAAGTCTGCACGATCAGGCACGAAAGATTCATTATTTCACATTGAAACGCCCCGACTTTAGGAATTAAACCGAGCAACCGAATATTTCAAATATAAACTTTGATCGTGGCTACTTGGAAAGTTTTCTGATTTTACGCCAGCGATCCGACTGGCTTAATCAAGAGCGAACAGGATAACGGGAAGTCTTAGTATAGTCTTAGTCCTGATAAAGTTAACGGCAATGTTGGTGAAGATTGGAACATGTTTCGAGGGGAAATCAAGTTGCACACAAGAGGGTGCATAGTGAAATAATAGACGGGATAGAATTTCTTCTGAAGAAAGAAGAAGAAATCCGAATCTCGCCTTCATCGTATATTTCAAGTATCTGAGCCGTTAAATAAAGACCTTTTCTTTAATTTTAATATCCCGTATTCTACGATCGTGACTCAAAACTCGACGTTTTAACGAAAAAATTATATACTTTCTAATTCTAAAATGTTAGAAAACCCATCAAAATGCAGGTAATTATTACTATACAAATAAAGATAAAATTACCAACAATATTGTATTTGCGGTAAACCAAAGCTATAGAAAGTTTCGTAAATTATTGTATACAATGGCTGCCGTGTTTCCGATTGTTACAACGTTGAGATAAACACTTTTTGAAATAAACATTTACTTACTACACAATGCAAACCTATAAAATACAGCAGGTATTATTCAATTTTCCCAGGAGGAATCTTTTATCGCAATATATATATATATATATATATATATATATATATATATATATATATATATATCGTATATATATATATATATATATATATATATATATATATATATATATATATACTATATATTTATATATATATATATATATATATATATATATATATATATATATATACTATATATATATATATATATATATATATATATATATATATATATATATATATTTATATATATATATATATATATATATATATATATATATATATATATATACATATAGTAATTTGTACTGAAAACAAATTACAGTTTATCCGTATTAGCCAAAGTTCCTAGTGGTCACTTTAATCGATTGAGTTTTTAACATTTTCAAAGCATAAATATCGTTGATCACTTGAAATTGTATAATTATTATACTATGCTCGAAGAGGAACTTGATGTAAAATCTGACTGCTCTTCTTGAATTTCTACTGCATATACACTTATACACTTCCACTCATTGAAATACTACTTCAAAACTGGAAAAAGATTAAATAACACCTTGTACGAATCAACCAATAAATCAATCGTTCGAACAATTTAGTCGTTTTAGTATAATTATTACGATGTCGTAACTACATTTCATGCACTGATTAAATATTTTGATAAGAAGAACAGCTGCAGTCTCCACTGGGAAGATGACTTACCCTAATTAAATTCTATATGAACCATTCAAAGCAAAATATAATATTACAGTAATTATATAATGACATAATCAATTTTTCCTTTACTGAGCTTGACATCACATTCTGAGAGTTCGATCTTCGTTCGTGTTTTACACAAAAGTATAAAGTCATATCACTATTTTTTTTTTTTTTTTTTTTTACTTTAACCCTTTCGGTACGAGCGCTCCGTAAGTGCACACATAGTTCTCTTGTGTACA